GCACTTGTTCACTGTGTCCTGGCCCTGCCTTCCTATGGTCAGCGCTGCAGGCACTCTATTCTTTCCACCATGCGGAGTAGAGGGATGGGGAGAGCCTGGACCTCTGCACAGTCCAAAGGATGCTAGCAGGAGTACAGAGTCGCCATGTGTCTGATTTTGAACCGGACAGTCCAGTATTTGAGCTTTCTGTTCGGGAAACAAATTGAGAAAATATAAATATCGGGTATTTTCTAAATAAGATGTAATGTAGATTGTGATGTAATGTCAAGTGTGTCTGGTATTTTTGTGAACCCTCTGGCAACCCTAGAGTCACTACAGAGTGGTGCTTTTCCTTAGGACTCAAGCACAGCTCTGCATAGTAGCCGTCATACTAAACCCCTGAGAAAATAAGAAGAGCCTGCTCCAGGAGCAGTGGAAGTACAAGGACCCAAGGAAACTGCTTTCCATGCCCTCCTTATGCCCCAACTTGTGTAGTACATCTAGAGACCAGGCAGAATTCAGTCCCTGTGCTCTCTGGGTGCAAAACCCCCCCTTCCTCTCTACTCACTGGGGAGGTAGGGTGCTCACTACCCAAGGGAGTGGCAAGGAGGAAATGGGTCCCCAATGCCCTCTGGATTAGCCTATCAAGCAGGATTGGACGACAGAAGGGAGCAAGCCCTCACCCTGGGGCAGGCAACTCTAACCATAAGTAAATTAATCAATAGAAGTTCAAATGCATTTGTGTGTAATGTCCCGCACTCCTCATTACAGTTACCTAGACGCTAACGTAAGTTCTCAAGATGTGTGGTTTGGACGGCAGGTCAACTTTGTTAGGAGAATGAAAAGGACAGTGTGTCCCTAGTGCACTTAAACATGAATTTGAATGTTCATTTATTTAGCTCATCTGGGAATACACCTCACTAAAGGGATACAGAAATATTCTTCTTTCTGTTGGTTTCTTTTTTCTTGTAGTTATTGTTATATCTGCACCTCTGGTGGGTGTGCAATAGCGGGCAAGAAACTAATAAATGATAAGATTTTAGGCCCCAAGTCAACAGCACATTCAAGCAGCACTGAATCAGAATACAGGAATGGGTTCGTGTTATAGTACGCTATCGTCCGCCCTAGTTCGCGGTTAAGTTTATAGTTCAAGCCTCGGCAAGGATTCAGGTCCTAGTTGTCAGATCCCAAAAAGGGCCGGGTTGCTGAGAGGGAAGGGAGACCTGGGCCTGCCCTTTCTCCAGATCTCAGCCCAGGACCCTAAGAACAGGTTCTGACGATACCTGTTCGGTCAGTGGGGGAGTCCGATACGAAACTTACTGGTCCGCGGGCAACTTCCTGCCCTGTCCTGGGCTGCTTCCTTCCCTCTCTGTGACCCCTGCTCCGATTCTGACTCCTGCTCCAGTCCCGGCTGTTGCCCCATCCTTAGCTCCGTCAATCCTCCTCCTGCTGGGGTCCATCCCTCCTTTAAACCTGGCGCCCTGTCTTCAGGATGCCAGCGCATGCACTCCTTGCCCCCGCCCAGAGTGTCGGAGCCGGAACGCACAGTGCATGCGCTTTCAGCAGTTCTTAGGCAAGCCCAGCTGAGACGCTCATGCTCATGACACCGGCGCATGCGCTCCTCACCCCCGCCTGGAGAGTCCGGGCAGGGACGTGCTGTGCATGCGTCTCCTGCGGCTGCTGAGCAAGCTCATCAGAGCCGCTTGCTTTTCGCGGCACGGGGGCTCAGCCTGGCTTTTGTGCGGGGAGTGGGACTCCTGCTTTCGGATCCCGTGTCCCCGTCACAGTTACAGTAAGATACTGCATACAGGCCATGGTTTAGTAGATTATAATTGGAGCTAGTTGAAAAATTTTGAATGTTCAAAATTTACGAAAAGGGAGTCGTTTGCAAAAAAAATATCTGGATGACCACAAATAATAAGTCTGATGCTTCCAAAATATTAAAAATGTTTTGCAATAGAGTTAGCAAACATTAGAAACTTTGTTTAATACTGAAGCCTTGTTTCTGAGATGTAAGCAAACATTAAAGAAAACCTCACAACCCCACTTAAAAGGAAACAACGCAGAAGCTTGAAAGGCTCCAGGCTCCATAAAGATTATCTGATCTATAAAGAGATCTTGCATGTGTTGACATTCTTTCAGCATGACAGTCTGGAGTCACTTAAAGCAATCGGGGTGTGCTGTCTGCCATGAAAAAGGAGGAGCAGGAAGAAATTCAGTTTGGTGAAGAGACTACTCATTCTGGGCGGATATAATGCAGCTTGAGCTGTACACTTGCTCTCAGCAGAAATACCAGTTTCCAAATGAGTGGCCCCATAGCATCTCATTCCCTAAGTATGGGTAACGGCTCAGCACCATGGTCCCCTTGTTGTGCCATTCCCTGTGCAGAAAAGCAGAGTGTGTATCTCAGAAAAGACTTGATCCAGTATCCATAGGAGTTGACAGTAATCCTGCCATTGACTTCAATTGGAATTTGTGCAGGCTCAAACATCCGATTTAAATCTCATCTCTGCTCTCTGTCAGCATCAAGCAAGACCTTAGAACAACAAGAAACCCAAAGTCTGAAAACAACCATGTTTTGAACCACCGGAGCGGATTAAAAAATGGAATTGCTTTCTCACAGGATATGTTGACATGTCCAAATTTGTTTTTCCCGAGAAAAGTGGGTTCATGGAGAAAACTTCAATATTAATCAACTCACTCATTTTCATGTGTAAAATGCCTTACAATTGTGATAAAATGAGCTACTGCCCTCTATAGTGCTAACAGTTATGAAGTTATCTGTTAGGAGCAGGAATCTCCAAGGACTTATCTACACTAGGACCTTAGTCTGAAATAACCTCCCCTGCACGGTCACATTTGTAAGTGATGTGTCCACACTACCAAGCCCATTATTCCAGAATAAGGAGCCACAGAATTCGGACTCTGTAGTCCTGTTTTCATAAGGAATAATGCTATTCCTGAACTTGTAAGCCTGAAATAACGTTAGGGTGGACACTCCGGTGCCTCTAATTCAACTAACTGACCTCCAGAAAGCCTCCTGCAGCTCCCCAGAGAGCTTTCTGGAGCTCTAAGTCTGAGGTAGCGGCATCCACATTAACGGAGCCTGCCTCAGACTATATTCAATTCTTCCCCATAGGGAGGACACAAAACTTAGAATTTGTAAAATCAGGTGCCCAGATGCCAAACTTAGTAAATTTCACATGGCATACCGGAGCAGTCGACAAAGGCTTCCCTTGTTGACCGCGCCGCATCTAGACTGCCGTGCTGTGCCGGATCAGCTGATCGTTAGCACAGCGCAGTGGCCGTTTTTATTTTAATGCAGCGGGGATTATTTAAGTTCCCGCTTCTTTGACTGTGCTGAATAAACTATTTTACATGTCTACGTCGACGAAGCCATGTAGTCTAGACGTAGCCTTAGTGTAGACATGGCCTAACTGGTCTGCTTGCACTTCGCTAATCATGCTGTTGCTTGTTAGTTACAATGAAATCTTCTGCATTGTAATTTTGTATAGCATTTTACATATGAAAACAAGTACATTCAATGTCAGTTTATGGTGTTTTACATATAAATGACTATTTGAAAAGGGAATAACCTGCAGGCTTTGTCTACACTTAACAGTTTAAAACGTAGCCGCAGCAGCACTTTAAACTGAAAGTGTGGCCACAGCACGAGTGCTGGGAGGGAGCTCTCCTAGCCCTCTGTGTAAACCACTTCTGTGAGGGGAGTAGCCAACAGCGATCCTGCTTCGCACTGGTGCTTTACAGTGCTGTATCTTGCTGCTCTGTGGGAGGGGATGTTTTTTCAAACCCCTGACCCAGAAAGCGACAGCACTGAAAAGTGTAAGTGTAAACTTAGCCGAGTCCCTAAAGCCCAGGGCCCAATCCTGTAAGGTGTTCAGATTTCAGTGAAGATAGGGATGGTCAGTGCCTGAGGCACTTAGGACATTGCAAAATCAAGCCCTTCAGATGTAGGGTTGCCAGGGGTCTGGTTTTGAACCAGACAGTCCAGTATTTGAGCTTTCTGTTCGGGAAAATATAAATGTCCAGTATTTTCTAAACAAGATGTAATGTAGATTGTGATGTAATGTCAAATCAGTCCGGTATTCTTGTTGAAACCATCTGGCAACCCTACATGTGAGGACTCACACTTCTTGTTATTTCTTCTAGGTATTCATGTAGAAACATATTTGGAAAGGGGAATGAGTATGTTTTGCCCTGCATGTTAGATAATTTCTCAGCCATCAGTGGTGCCAATGTCATAAATGATGAAGACAACCTAAGGACCACATTTTCTAAGATGTTTCAAAAAGCTCAGCATGGTGGATATTGCGCTCTTGAAAATCAGGTTGTAAATGTCCTTGTGGCAGCTACTGAGCACGTCTGACAATCTGGTCCTTATTCATTGCTTACATGGGAAGTGAGTGCCTTTGAAAACATATTCATAATGGAAGGACTGCCTGATTGTGTTGTTTGGAAAATCTGGCCCTGCATACATGAGACACAGCTCTGCGTGACCTAAAAAGCTAGAGTTATTGTTGATGTTTGATGGTGGTATGAGATTCTTTTTTTAATACGGGTTGTGATTTTCCGATAAAAAATATTTCTGGAAATTGCAGTATATTGAGGAGCAGAAGCTTTCTTTGTATGTTGTCATCAGACACGGAGGCTTCAAAGGCCAAAATCTCAGCCATTTGTTACCATTCACAAGTGCTAAAGCCATATGAAGAGAAAAGGGGGATTGTTTTAGATGCTGTATGCAACTTTACTTGCTGTCTGTGTTATACTCTGTAGCTCAGAACAGTGTTCCTCTGCCAACTGCAAATGCTTACCACATTAGAAGAGAGGGGCAAAAAGATTTGTATAAATGCATGATTGTTCTGACTATGTGGGCTGGAGAAGTATGGCTGGAATTGGGGTTGTGACTCTGAGAGCAACAGGATGCAAATCACAAGTGTTACTTTTACATTCCTCTGGAGGTTAAGCAAGTTGGGGCTGAAGAAACTGTGTTGTCTTTTTAGGATATAGATGACTGCAACCAAAAAGCTGCACAGCCAGGCTCTGCGAGTGTCAATCCTGACGAGGCAGTAGTAAAACAAGAGAACACCAACATTTTTGGCTCAGAAGACTACAATAATTCTGTCATGAGTTTCTTTAGAACATTGGTAAGTGTTTGCCTACAGTTTTTCTTCATAGAATACACCTAAAAACAAAGACTTATGAAATTCCAATCTATATGCATCTATGAATATCTAATATTCTCATCATCTCAGGTACCAAAAATTAATGTTATAAAACTGAATTGATGCCTAAATGCTTAGATTGATAGGTAGAGAGAGACTGTGGCACCTTAAAGACTAATTAGGGCTTAAGCTTTCATGGGTAAAAAACATTTCATCGGATGCATCTGATGAAGTTTTTTACCCACGAAAATTTGTGCCCAAATAAGACTGTTAGTGCCACTGGACTCGTTTTTGCAGATAGACTAGCACAGCTACCACTGTGAGATTTAATTATATTGATTCGGAAAGCTTTGTCTATTTATAGACTATTTTAGAACCCAAGTTCTGTTAAAAATATTTTCCGTGAGTTAAAACATGCTTTGAAAATGTCTAAATATACCAACAAAACAATGATTAGTTACTGGCAGCACAAATGTAAGTCAAGGAAGAGACAGGAAAACCATTAAGTACTTGGAAAAACAATAGTTGTTAATGAGAGTGGAAGATGAGTAATGAAAATACTAAATTAGCAATGCAAAAGAAAAGCAAATGTCATAGGTTATAATCCAGGAGGATTAGAATTCATGAGTGCGTTCATCTTGTATTGATAATAGAAGCTGCATGTTTGTCTAATGTATTTTGATCTTGAATTTTTTGTCTTACTAACTAGATGCTGTCTCAAAATTATATTCAGGAAATGAATGCATCTCATATTAATATGGAATAAGTCTTCCCCCATTTAGAAAGCAAAATATTGTTTGATATTTGTAGATTGAATGTGTATTCTTTCCCTTATTGCCATAGATAAGCCTGCTAGTTTCTAACTAACTGATGAAATTCCAGATCTTTCCTTTTGAAAGAAGCTAAATTTAGACATATATTTCATCCACAATTACCCTATTTTGTTTTCTCAAATATTTAAGGTTTCACCAAGCAAATCAGAAGCCAAAAGTGACTCTGAGGACAAGGTAGGCAGTTTGCTTGATGTTTTTCTCTCTGTCGTTGCCATTACATTGTGCTCAGATTGGCTTCAATGCTATCCTTTCTTCTCCTGTGCCTTCCCTTCAACTGTACATGAGATTACTGCTTGTTGTAGTGAAACAGTAACCTTTCAGAAACAAAATACAAAAGAAGAAAGATGATCATAGACCAGTCTATTTTTCCCATTCAGTTTCAAATATTGTACTGAATATACTACTCAATTCACTTTCCATGGCAGAGGTTTGAATCTGAAATAGTAATATTATTATATTGGACGCTATTTAGATTCTCAAACTAGATGAGTTTGCGGTTTCTGGATGAAAATCTGGCCCCACTGAATTTAATTGCAAATTTTTCATTTACTATTGGAGCGTCACAATTTCTTTATGATTTTGCTTATATAGCTGTGAAAAACTTCCAGGTTTCACTTTCTATTATTTAAATGTGAAGATAGATATTTTTCTTGAGTCTTTGCATACAGGAGATATTCTCACCTGTTTGTATAGAGGGCCACAGAAGTCCCTTAACACAACAGAACTGTAGCTATTCTGTGCAGGGTGTGGCTAGCCGTGGAAAAGGTACATAGGAAGATGTCAACACATTCTGCTCTTGCTGAACCTGAGGTCTAAACCCAATGTATATTTGGTAATAAAAATAACTGTTAATGTATAGGTAGTTCTTTTACACCAGTTTCCTAATATTCTTTATGCCCCTTTCATTCTAACAACTAGCCACATTTTGACAGGTTGGACATGTAATAGGGTCATGCACACAATTTACTAACTTATCCACACAACTCTGTCAACTGCCCCTAACTATCAAGGATAAAGTTTTTAAAGGAACCAATACGAGTAAGGCACCCAAATCCAATTCAATATCAATGAGATTTGTCTATCTAGCTATCTCAAGAGCCTTTGAAAATCCCAGTCTATATACAGTTGCATATCTGGCTTTGTGAAAACCAGCCTGATATTTCTACAACACTTGACTATAGTTGTAGGCACACTGTAGTCAGGAAACAAATACACTGTTTGGGATTGGTTTGCTAACACACCTGTAAAGGTAAACATGTCCGGGTGCCTCCAGCAGGATATGCCAATCAGTCTTTGTACACAATATACAGAGCTCGCTGGGGAGTGCTTTCTATAAAGAACACATTTTTACTTCCAATCATTGTTTTCTAGAATTAACACCATGAGTAAGCATTTGGATTGTCAAGAAAAATAAATCCCCACTCCTGGTGAGATTTATTTCCATTCAATAAAAATAAAATAAAAAGAAGGTATCATGTTGTGCATTTGTTTTGTATTATACTAAATTTTACTCCTGCTCCCCTAAACCCTATTTTAAAATCAGTTTGGTAGGGGAAGAGTGAGGAACAAATGATGAATTTCTGATAGGGGTGACAAGTATGAGAGGGGTAACTGTGTTAGTCTGAATCTGCAAAAGCGACAAGGAGTTCTGTGGCACCTTTATATAGACTAACAGATTTACTGGCGCATAAGCTTATGTGGCAAAGACCCACTTCATCAGATGCATGGCGAAGTGATGGGGGTGAGTTTGTAATCAATGTTTTTGCTTAGGACAGGATTTTTTCCACTTTCACCATAATAAAAATCCTGTCAGAAAATGAGAGTACTAAAATTTGCCCCTAATTCCAGTTAGGGCTTGGTCTTCCGCTTAGTGAAATCAATGGGAATTTTACAGCTAGCTTCAGAGAACAGGAGCAGGCTGTTCTTCATGAATACAACAGGGAACGGTTTTTAGAGTGCAACCACTTTGTCTGCAGAATAAGTTCTTTCTATATATGTGTCTTCATTGCAGAGACAGCCCATAAGCTTATTTGCCTGCTGCCCTTAACTCTCTGCTCCTGACTGTCCCCACCCAATTTAGGTGGTGCTCTCAACTCAAGCTAGCTGGCACAGTTGGTGCAGTGGGTCAGCCTGCTGATGGGTGGAGAGGTAAAGAAGGCAAAGGAGACTAATTGGTGGAGGGGTAAAGGAGGAGAGTAGAAGTGGCAATGGCCAGAGCTCTGGGACCTTTAAATTGTTGCCAGAATGATGTGCCAAATGCTCCGGGCAGCACTAAGAAGGCACACCACACTCTAGGTGGGGGCTGGCTTGGTGTGCTCTATGTGGTATGCCCTGGCCCCTGGCTGCCCGAGCCCTGCCCCTTTTGCCCAAGGCCCACTTCTTCTGGGAGCCTGAAGCCAGCCCCCGCCTCCCCCCACACACACACCTTGCACAGGGGCCCATAGGGGCTATCAGCACCCCTGCTAGGGTTTAGAGACCAGGTTCTACTTCATCTCAGACTGGTAGCCCACCCACTTTGCAGTGAGGATTCATTTGAGTTCCGACAGCCCTCAGTCTTCCCACAATTTCTTTCAGGACAAATATTCTCCCACAATTCACTGGGAAGGAATTGTAAAGCATCTCGTTTTCCTGCAGCACAAGAATAATAGGATATGCCCCCATAGAGGATATGTCTAGACTACATTGGTTTTTTTGAAAAAAATTGCCCTTTTTTCCAAAAAAGTCACCTGCATCCACACAGCAATCGCGTGCTTTCGAAATTAAATTGAAAGAACCTAGGGTTTTTTTCGACATTGGTAAACCTCAAATTACGAGGAAGAACGCCTTTTCGAAAGAGATCTTTCGAAAAAAGGTGTGTGGGGACACAGAACAGGGACATTTTTCAAAAGTAGAGGCAACCAAAAATAGCACAGGTGCCCTGGTGGCCATTCTGTGAATAGCAATCAGAGCTTTCTTTTGAGAGCATCCATGTGTCCATCACTTTTTCGATCTGGTTTTGAGGTGAGGATGCTTTTTTTCGAAAGAAGCCTTTTCGAAAGAGTTCTTTTGAAAAAGCTTCTTTTGAAAGAAGCTTGCAGGCTAGACGTACCCTCAGTGACACACAGCTGTACACAGCACCAATGACGACACAGTAGTTTGGAGAGGCCTTTGCAATGTGGCTGTTGACCTGGGTTAACTCAGCAGTGAAAACATACCCTTAGATCTATCCAAAGAACATAAGGAAAATCCTCACCTTCACCCTGGCAAAGAACAAATCAGAGTTGAATTTAGCTTCTTAAAACACACCAACATGCTGTTAACATGCTCTCTGATCATGGGTGCAACCTTATTGATGTCATTGGAATTTCAGCCTTCTAAACAAAGGCAGAATTTTCACAGTACAATAAGTCTGTACTCATCCTGAGCTGAATCACACTGTCATAGGATTAGCTGGTTCTTTATAAGTTATTATTGGCTAAAGTTCATAAAACCCTTCATAGAACTCCTGAACTTGTCATCTGAAGAAGTGGGCTGTGCCCAGGAAAGCTCATGATACCATCTACATGTTTTGTTAGTCTTTAAAGTGCTACCAGACTATTTGTCATAGGATTAGCTGGTTCTTTATAAATTATTATTGGCTAAAGTTATTCTCTTGACTGGAACAAATTTGCCCTCAACTGCATATCTATTCAACCCTTCATAGAGCTCCTGAACTTGTCATCTGAAAAAGTGGGCTGTGCCCACGAAAGCTCATGATACCATCTACATGTTTTGTTAGTCTTTAAAGTGCTACCAGACTATTTGTTGTTTTTTTAAAATTTATCCTGTACAGACTCACTCAGCTACCCCCTGAAGCTTGTCCCACTATGTTCTACCGGTTAGTAGAGCAAGGGGAATATCAACAGCACTGCAAACACAAGAGGGTAAAGAAGAACTGACCATTTGTTAATCTTAATAACTAACTCAAAGATCCAGAGAGAGGCTGCAATAGAGTTATGAACAACTACATGTCCAGGGAAGATCTAAGTGTCAGGCTGACTTCTAATTTCTATGTCGGCTTCAGTTTCCTGCAAATTATTTCTTATTATCCTGCTTGATCCAGTGAACAATGTGCCTTTAATTTTCTTGAGGGCACTGTAGATCAAACACTATGTATTGCTTTAGGACTTGGATCTGCTGGTTTCTGTAATTCAATCAACTCTGATTGGTCAAAGCTTTCAATACCCAGTTAGCAGTTTTCATTTTGGATTTGATTAGTTTAATCTGGTATAATCATACTTTTGAATGGATTAGGCCTGATTTTTTTAAAAAATTCATTCATGTAAATATAAATCAGGAATACCATGTATGCAGTAAGTGGAGTTAAAGTGGGGTAATAGATCAGAATTAAGCCCAAGACATTTTCCAGTAGCAAATGAAAACAAACATAGTGTGATTCTACCATTCCACCTAAAATTAGATTATCTCAGTGATCCTGTCTGGTTTTATAATGTTAAGTTGCATGTATAATGCCCTGCATTGAACACCATTGTGCTTTCATACATTTATGTTCACATAATTTTTCTAAGAGGTTGATGAAAGAGTAGTCTGCACCTAAAACAAAGTCCATTGGAACTGAGTAATATACACCTATTATAAAAAAAATATATAACATTGTTTGACGTGTTGTCCAAGATGAAATGAAATGTTTGCCTTTAGTATACCACATATAAGTGTTTTTATTATGTATTAATTATCACTTCATTATGTATAATTAATAATGCATTAAAGGAAATGGAGTATGTAATAAGCTATGATTGCTGTTGCACAAAAGGAATCTAAAGTGGAAAAGAGCCATGGTGAGCATCCTGCTCAGAAGACAGCACCAGAATTCCAAGCTAAAGGAGCCAAGAAAAAGAAGCCAGAGAGTCCCATGTTAGGACACAAAACATTTAGCAAAATCTTTAGGCATAAGGTCTGTATATTATTCTAGCAAAAATGGAACCCTGAGCAGTAACAGATGGTCCTTGTCACAGCATGAAGTATTAAAATAATTGGATTTAATGTGGTGTGACTGAGATGGGAATCTGGCCAACCCGTAAATAATTTGAAAAATAATGAAATGAACATTTAACTAAAACCTATAGAGAAAAAAATGTTTTGTAACAAAACAAAGCAAAAATCCCTCATATACCATCTGTGAATTCAGGATTCTGAAAGAATCCCTCTAATCCTCTAAAAATCTATGTTATTTGATTATTGTCCTAAATCATTCAGACTAACTAAACTTACAATGGCCATAACCAGAATACATAGAAGATTAGCACTGACAAACAATGAATTACGAAAAAAGGTCTCCTTCAATGGAATGCTAGCTCTAAGGGCCCAATCCAACTTGCACTGAAGACAATGAAAAGATTCCCATTGACTTAATTGGATGATTCGCATGCTTAAAGTTAGGCATGTACATAAGTATCTTGCTTAATTGAACCAGCACCAAACATGCATTGAATAGAGATGGTTGGAAAATGAAGTATTTTCACATACAAATATTTGACTTTTCATTGTAAAACTGAAACATTTTTGGCTGAAAACTGAATTTTGTTTTTGAGTGAAAATCTGATTTATTTTTCTGTAGTGAAAACTTGAGGAAAGCAGACACTTTCCATGAAATTTTTTATGTAGGTTAAAAAAAAAGAAGTGTTCACAGAAATAGCTCCAGAATTCAGTGTGTTAGATCTTAATCAATATTTCTGTCTAATAAGGACAATCAAGATTGATGGTGAGATGCACTGTGATTGGGAGGCAAAGAACAGTCCCAATATATCCCAAAGAATGTAGTGTCAGAGGCCTTTTAGTTGAGGGAGGAAAATAATATTAATTGCATGCGTAAACTCCATTCAAACACACACTTGGAATTTTTTGAAAGTAGGGGGCTTTTATAATTGGGGTTGGTTGTGCGGAAAAACCTCTTTAAATCTAAAAAGAACATTTTATTCTCTGTTCACTAAAAGTTTCACGTTCCTTCACTTTTTTTCTAGATTGGAAATATTCAGTCTCATTTCCTGGAAGGGATGACAGTCTTTTTGCAGCAGTTGAAAATATTGGGTCTCATTTTGAAAACATGACAGCTAATCTATTTTAACAAATATGCTTTTATTAAGTTAGTGGGTCACACTCTACCCATTAGAGTCACTCCACTAGTGTCAATCTAGGGATATAAAGTCCCATTTAAAAAGTTAACCAGTTAAACATTATGGCTTAACTAGTTAACTGGGATCCTGTGGGCAGAGGGCTGCTCTGGCCAGGCAGGGCCCACCTCAGTACACTGCGGGCAGAGAGCTGCTCCAAACTGGCCGGGCTGGAGAGTCCCTCCCCCACCGCCCCATGGTGCAGCGTGATAGGCCTGGCCGGGATACTGCAGCCTCCTGACCGGGGCACCGGTAAACAAGTTACCCAGTAAGGTGATGCTTACCAGGTAACTGGTTACCCTGTTAACCTTTACATCTCTATGGGTGTGTCTAGACTACAGAGTTTTGTCGACAAAAGTGGACTTTTGTCGACAAAACTATACCTGCGTCTACACTACCGCTGAGTTCTGTCGACATAACGTTGACAGAACTCAGCAGTTTTGTCGACGCTGGTAAACCTCATTTTACGAGGCATAACGCCTTCTGTCGACAGAGTTCTGTCGACAGAAGGTGTTATTGCATGTAAACTGTCCTTGCGTCTACACTGCCATGTCGACAAAGCAGCTTGCTTTGTCGACAGAACTGAATGTAGTGTAGACGCTCTTTGTCGACAGAAGCTTTGTCGACAGTATCTGTCGACAAAACTTCTGTCGACAAAACTCTGTAGTCTAGAAGTACCCTATGTCAAATGTGACTAACTAATATGTTTTTTAAAGCTATTCAAAATGCATACTTTGTAAGATGAATCTCATGCCTCTTTCTATGGAGATTTTTTTTCTTGTGTTTTTTGAAGTATGTAGTTGTTTTGTTTTAAAATATATATGAACTTACCACACTATAAAACAAGTGTAAGTAATATTATGACTACAGAGTGTGACACTCTCCAAAGAAAAGGCAGGTGGAAAGTTCAAAGTAAGCTAAGACACTATCCCAGTAGTTGTAGCAGAGGACTCAATTCAAGACACTATCTTTTGTGCCAACAAAGGAATGTCAGTCCTTTGTGTTGGTTTGCTTCAAAATCTTAAATTAGTGACTTTAATAATTGAACAATGAAATTCCTCATGTCTTAATTTCTGGTGCTGTGACGTGACAAGGTTTGTAACTTAAGCATGCCACATCTTCTGAATAATTACTGTAGGTAAAAAAGCTAATCTACTCAAAATGATGGTTAATTATTTTACTAAACTTAAACTGTGAACACTTCATTTTGAGAACCCTTAGCTACTCTTAAGAGTTTTTTGTGTTTGACTGTCATCATCCTGGAGTGTCCACCATAGTGAAGGAGAACAGCAATTATTTTGAGATTTTTTTTAAATCCATTGTTTTTCAGTGTTGTCTTTTATAGAAAATACTAACTTCTAGTCAAAATAAGCATGATAAAAAAAACAAGTTTCAAATAGGGCTCGTGAGCAGTAACATATGATGTAATAACTGACATATTAAGTCTGAGGCTGTGAGATTTTTGTCAGATTTGATGGAATTCTCCCAGCTGGATCCCTGTGCATCATGCACTTTAGATCCTGAGTGTATGTTGCTTTATGTTCAGATCCAGTTTTTAAACATAACGTTATTGATTTATGAGATTCTATATGGAAAGCAGAGAGTTAATTAATTAACTTTCAGGTGTTATTGCTGAAGTCAGTTTCTGGCATTCACCCTGAAGTTCTGTAAATTACTGTGGAACATTGGTGCTAACCACAAAAGGGAAAGTTCATGTCTCCAGCAGAACACTTCCACCTGGTCTTCCATGAAATCTCCCTACAGCATGGCAAAAAGCCTAGAACTAGAGAAGCAGGAAGAGCATTTGCCCTGTATTCTAACTTATTGCTTCTCTTCCTTTTATAGAATTCAGCTGCTCATTTCCTAATATAAACTGCACTATAATTTGGAATGAGCAACTCAAGGATCATGATAACTGGGGTTTAGATTATTTTCTGAAAATTAGTTCAGTGACGTTTGGATCTGGTGGCATAAATGTTGTGCTGCAAGGCTACCAGTGCCTCAGTAAACCCAATGATCCCAATTTTGATATGACCAATTTCCCAAATCTTTTACATAAAATTATTAATTGGTTCTGAGTTAACAGGCTTTATAGGGAAACTCTACAGGGAGGAGGAGGAGGGGCAATGGGATCAACTTCCAACCTTCACTGCCACTCCTCTGGAGCCATACCACTAGTTTATAGCCTGGAAATTAGCTGCTGTTCTGTTCATGGAAATTCGTAGTCCCTGGCTTCACATAGGTGCGGCTTTCGTAGACTCTTCCCTGCCCACTCCATGGTCTTCAGAGTGCAGAGATGCCCCTCTGAGTGACCATTATCTCTTTGCCATCTCCCTCTCTGCCTGCATAGCCTTAGTGCAGGTGCTTAGAAGCAGGGCTGCCAGGTGTCTGGATTTTGGTCTGAATACCTGGCTGAAAGGAACCCCGGTGGCTCCAGTCAATACCACTCACCACGCAGTTAAAGTGCAGTTGGCAGGGCAGGCAGGCTCCCTCCCTGGCTCTGCACAGCTCCCTGGAAGAGGTGATGTGTCCTTTGGCTCCTAGGCAGAGGGGCGATCAGAGAGGCTCTGTGCACTGCCCTGCACCGACAGGTGCTACTCCGAGCTACGGTGCTGGTCCCTGCAGGCAGAGGTAGCACATGGAGCCCCCTGACTGATCCCAGACCTAGAGGCCAAGAAACATATTTGCTGCTCCCAGGCAGCCATCCAAGGTGAGTGCTGCCCAGAAACTACACCCCACAACTCCTCTGCCTCAATCAAGAGCCCCCTCCTGCACTCCACTGCCCCAAGCCAGAGCCCACTCCCACACTCTGAACCCTTCAGCCGCAGCCCAGCTCTCTCCCCCCCAGCACCCTAAACCCCTCATACCTTGCCCCACCCCAAAGCCCCAGATGGAGCCCTCATCACCACCAGTACACTACCCCCTTGCCCCGGCCTGGAGCCCCCTCACACACCATGAATCCCTCCTTAAATTCTAACCCTACCTCAGAAACCACACCCTCAGTCAGAGCCCTCAGCCCTCTCCTGCACCCCAAACCTCTTACCCCAGACTTGTAAAAATGAGTAAGTGAGTGAAGGAAAGGGTGAGCAAGTGACAGAAGGGGAGGATGGAGTGAATGGAGGCAGGCGCTCAAAGAAGGGGCAGGGGAGGAGTGTATACTTCTGTGCAATTAGAAAGTTGGCAACCCTATTTAGAGGGTGTGTGCAGGCCTTCTGAGCTTGGTAAATGTTACTCCCTAAATGTTTCAAGAATACAGAACTTTTATCTTCACTATTGAATTAGAGTATATAGTACTTTTCAAAACTCTGCAATAAGATCTGATGTTCAAACAATCATAACAATAAAAATCTACTTAAAAAGTAATTTGTAGTGGGCATGGCTTACATATTAACCAGGCCTCAAAACAGAAATTAAAAACAAACATTACATCGCCCTACATAGCTCAGAATACATCCAAGACAATTCTCTACCTCAACCACACCTAGTACAATCAGATCCACTATATTAAAAAGCCTGATTAAGAAATTTTGTAGCTCTGTTCACAATATCTTATCTGCGTTTTGCTACAAAACATAGATTACATTATATCATTTAACCGTCAACATTTCTTATCCCAGGCATTAAGACCCAGATTTTCAAAGACACCGTTTTGCAAACAGTTCCCATATACAAACATAAGCCAGGGTTTGTACACAAGCATTGAGAGTTGTTTTGTATATATGAACATGCAGGAACACACACAAATGTGTACCACTGAAAAATTATGTCTCTTTTTAAAAATTTGTTACGCCTTATGCTACGAAATTAGTTGGAAGGGTTTTTTTTCTTTAAAGTACAAGTGTGTGAAAATAAATGCACAAGAATTGGACACAAAACAACTTGACGTCAAACTCCAAATAAAGGATAAAAATAGGCAGATGGGAGAAGAACATGGAATGCACCAAATAATGGATGATCTGAGTTTGATGATTTCCACAAAGAATGAAAGCCCAACACCATTAGTAGCTAGCTCTACTCCAGTGAGGTTCAGGACTTAGGTGATGTGGCATTAGTTATTCTCTATTAAAGGACAATTCCTCCAAGTCAAGCAGAAGGCTCATTGCTGAAACTGCTCAGACTAGAGCTGTCTTGTTTCTTTAAAGAGGTTGGTAGAGGCAGGGCAGGCCAATTACATGGCAGCAAGAATCTGGACTTTTACACACACAAATATTTACTGAAAATAACATGATTAGAGAAATAACCAATTCCTAAAGTGTATATTTGTGGGCAAATGGCATTGTTCAAAACAAACTTGTCTTTGTGCTTTGTTTCCCTTTAGTCCACAAAAGAGGCCCAACGGACAACTGATGCCAAAGTGAGTAGGATTACTTATAACCACCCATATATGGTTCCATCATTGTGTAACTAATATAACTGCCGCATCCATTCTCACACAGTGTATGAAAGTAACAATAAACAACCTTTGCAATGGAGAGATTTCCACTTCATTTACATTTTCCTTGCTAGGAGTTCACTACAGTTACCTCTGAAGTGGGTGGCAGTGCAATTTGTATGAGTGATGCTGTACAAGTTGTGCTATGGTTGTTTCTTGGGATGCTTGGATGTGTTTTGTGTCCTTTTTCCTTTACAATGTTTTAATGATGCGGTGTCTGTTTTTAGGTTGTTGAACAACAGCCTGTCACCTCCGTCAGTATAAAATCAGAAAAAAATGCCCCTCCCTCTCAAGAATCACAGATGACAAAGCAGAATGTAAAACCCCCTGAATCTGCAGCTCAGCAGCAGGCAGCAGCAGCAACTACTGAAGCCCCGAAAGATATGGCTAAAGAGAAATCTGCTCCTACTCCCACACCATTGAGCAAACTCTTCAGAAAAAAGGTATGTATAGATTTCAGAATTGTTTCCTCCACTCCACACCTCCCCAGTTTTGAGGGCTAATATAAATGCATTCCTGATGAAGAAACCAAAACAAAGAAGAAGGTAAGTCGAATCACATTTTTAAACAAGTTAGGTGAATGTGAGGGTATGTCTCTGTTCTGCACTGTGGTGAGTTCCATCCACTTTGAATATCAACTGCCCTCACAGACCACAACCCCCCTCAAATATGTTAGTCATAGGCAACTCCTTCATTTGTTTGTTTGTTTGTTTGTTTTAACCCCGGTCATCTGAAGGGGTATGATAGCATCTCAAGGTCCTTCCTAGCATGTGTGACTCTCCTTAAACCCACAAAAAAAGTTTGATCTTCCTACCAACTGTTCCTTATGGCCCTCAAAATTTGGAATGAAAATAAACACTATTACTGCATGACAAAAATCCCACAGGTTCTCTGGCTCCATTCCCCCTCCAGCCTTGGGTTTCTTATCTTCCTTACCATATTGTTAAAGGCAATCAGGACGAAAATTTGCCCCAGTAGTGGACAGGGTCTGTGGAGAGCTCTCCATATCTCTGTGCACACCTTACACAGGCTGTAGCAAATATGGGTAATACTCAAAACTTTTTGAGCATATATGGGCCTTCACTAAACACCTAAATCTTAACACCTCTGAACTTTTGACATCTTTGAAATCTGGACCCAAATTTTGCTTCTTGGGCTCATCTTTGCCTAATTTTTAAATATCCAGACTTCCTGATTCTGCAAACTTTGGCAGGAAGTCTTCTGAGAATGAGATTGGTTGTGAGATTTGTGGTCTTTCCTGCTCCTACATGGGATAGAAGTATCATGAGCTAACTGTAGCCAAATAAAGGCCAATGAAAAATAACAGAAATTGGGGAAATTGCCCAAACTTTTACAAAGCAGAGAAAAGAAATGGTTTTGAATTTTGAAAGAAAGCGCCATCTTGTTTCTTATTAATCCAATCCAGCTTTAGAAATCTCTTTGATTTCTCTCAGAGATGTTGTAAAATATTTGCATTGTTAGCTGAACAGGTGTTGTTTTTAAATGTTTTATTTTCTCAGTAGGAAACAAGACATATTGTAATTACTTCATAATAAAATTCCTAGTTTGGCTTTGATTGAAATAATGCATTGCACCAGTCTTCAACTCCCTTTAGGGAGTTCATGTTCATTCATGTTCTCTCATTCTCTCTCATTGTAATGCAGCTGATTTAAAAGTACATGAATATGTATCTCTTGTCTGCATTAATGAATTAGTTATTGTCAAAGGAAGGTTGATTGTCATGGAATAATTATATATCTTATTTCATATGTGACAGGCACAGTCAAAATTAGGCTAATTAAAAATATGAGCCAGGTCCACAGCTGGTATGAATTAACTGTTCGTCAATTTCAGTGGACCTATACCAAATTATACCATCTGAGTTTCTGTTGCTATATTCCATTAATTTAAAATAATCTTTGGACCCAGTTCTTCTTCCACATTCACTATTCTACAATCACTGATGTTTATCTTGCATGTGGGGATGTAAATCAGAGGCTAATTAGGCCCATGTTTTTTGAAGATCTTACTCTTCTCTCTGAGAAATGGATACTGTCAGTCAAATCCAAACCTTGCATTAGTGCAAATTCCATTGACTTGACCAGTGGAGTTACGACAAATACAAATGGGTCTAGCAGAGAACAGAATTTAGCCCTTTATATTCAGTTGTTTCAAAAAACTAAAACTACCTGTTTGATTTGAATGATTATCCTTTACCAGCAAAAAAAAAATCGTTTTCTTAGGTTTTCTTGATAGAGGAGGATATTATATTTCCTTTAGCCAGGGATCTTGGTGACCTAATTAGTTGAGGTTAAAGAATTACATAAATACTCAAAATGATTTCCCCCTCACAGATTAGCCTGAAACTCAGGTTGCTTTGGAGATATTGCTTGTTGGGTTGGATTTTTACTTTATCAATTCTTTTTGCATACCTGACCTCTTCCCTTAGTTGTTGGACAGCAGAAGCTAGCAGCAACTCAAAATAAATGTATGTAATTCAGACCGATGTGTAATGCTTCTTCTGAACTAACAAACAGATCCAGTTACTTCTCCCCTTCCAGCAAGACTCCCTGGAATTTAAAATGCTTATCTCTAGAAGGAGCTTGGACTTCAAAATACTGTATAACTAATGAACTGACTGTTAACAGACTGTAGTGCTAACGCTTTAATTAGAGCTTGGTAAACAGTGCAAAATAATACCCGTGAATGCTTGTTTAACTTTCCAAATTAATTCACATCTGCTGTGTTTGGCCCCATTTGTGAATACTTTCCAGGAATATTCTCACAAATGACGGGAATGTTTGCCATTATAGCTTTTTATTTTTTAAGCCAATGATGGATATTAATGGAAAAGCAAAATTTTGCATTTGCAATCACAAGTATTTACACTGGAAACCTGAATCCAGGACTTATATGTATCTAGGCTTAGCAATTCACTTCATGACCATTTAGAATATAGAATAATTACAAATAAGCTGCAGACTAAAAAGGTTCCAAGAGAATAGGTTGGTGTATAGTCTCAAATAACGAATAAACATTGCAAGGGGGGATCACAATTTGAAGCTGTTACTGTTTTGATGTTATATATGTTTCTGTAAAAGACCTGCCCCTGTTACCAAAAGGGGAGGACTTATCTATTGACAGAATAGCCAGAAACCCAGATAAACACTTACCAAACAGCAACCTTGAGCACTGAGTCATTAGCATGGAATTTGCAGAGTAACCAATGCCTGAAAGATGGGTGCCATAGAGAAGAAAAATGAATATCATTTGAAGGTTTGGGCTTGCTCTCTGCAGTCTGTTTTCTCTCTTTTTAAGGAATTTAAGATCCTTCACATTGGTGCAAATCAGGATTAACTCTTGAATTTTGTGGAATTAATTACAATTTACCTGAGTGTAACTGACAGTAGCATTTCAACTTATGAATCCAGACAGCTCAGTCAATGTAATTGATGGCAATAGGAATAGCACTGTGTATTCAGGACAAATAAAGAAGATATAATTGTTCTCCCTGTAATGTATTAGTGCACAAATTGTAGATTCCTCCTTATAAAACTAATCACAGAACATGATGTCATTTTAATTTGTATTATTACTTTGCTGAGTAAAGAGAAAGACAGGCCAATACCCTAGAGGAGAATTAAAGTGAACATAAAATCATTCAAAGTTTATTGACTATTCATCTTTGTCAGGGTTGTCCCATTAAACTTCAGCTGCTGTCAAGAACATCTCTCAAGATGGTAAATGGAAAAATTTGTTTGCCCTGCTATCAAAAGTAGAGAGTTAAAAGTATGTTAAAAATATCTTTGTGATTTGGAGGGCTTGTTTTGCCTTTGGAAGTCTGTATGCAGTATTCTCTAAGGGTACGTCTAGACTACCGCGTTTTGTAGATGGAAGTTTTGTCAACAGATACTGTCGACAAAACTTCCGTCGACAAAGAGCGTCCAGACACATTGAGTTCTGTCGACAAAGCAAGCTGCTTTGTCGACAGAACTCCGTAGCCTGGACGCAGTGTTACATGCAATAACACCTTCTGTCGACAGAGTTCTGTCGACAGAAGGTGTTATGCCTCGTAAAATGAGGTATACCAGCGTCGACAAAACTGCTGAGTTCTGTCGACATTATGTCGACAGAACTCAGCAGTGGTGTAGACGCTGGTATAGTTTTGTCGACAAAAGTCCACTTTTGTTGACAAAACTAGGTAGTCTAGACACACCCTAAAAGTAAGAGGAGTTATATGCTATCTGTTATGTGCGGTCAGATTCCAGGAATCTGCAAAATGTAAGACAACTTGTCTTCTCCCACCTTATGAGAATTTTGTTGTGCCTCTTTCTCTAAAGTTTCCCTTTGTATAATGCTAGGTTTGCATACCAAGTTCTGACTCTGTGTGAATCCAACCTTCTTCTATATAGACTTGAAGGTCAGAAGAGATTGTCATGATCATCTAGTCTGACCTCCTGCATATCCCAGGTCACAGACCCTTCCCCATCCACTCCTGTAACAGGCCCCTAACCTCTGGTAGAGTTATTACAGGTTGCACCTCCCTAAATTGGGACTCGCTGATCTGTCCTGCTGGACTATAGATGTTCCAGGGCCAGAAAGCTCCGGTGGCCAGGAGTCAGGCAACAGGAGGACTAGCAGCTGGGAGCCCAGCAGGGGTAGCTGTAGCCCAGCAGGGGAGCTAAGATTGGGACCAGGGCTATGCAGCAGGTGTCAGGAGGTCCGGGGCTGTATGGCAGCCCTGCAGAGGATCCAGGGCCAGCAGCAGGCAGTCCTGCTGGGGCCAGTGGCAGGGTGAGCACGTAGGGCCAGAAGCAGAGCTGGCAGCACGCTGGGGACCTCCCCTGGTCCAGCAAATTCCCTTATTCAATACTGATCAAGAACCAAGGGTGCTGGATCAGGGAGGTCCAACCTATAAAATCCTCAAATTGTGATTTTAAAACTTCAGGTCACAGGGAATTCACTATTTTCTTCACAGACTCTGACTTCTAATTCTAGGCAACACTGTACATCAATTACCTAGTTAAAGGTAATATCTCTTTAGCAAGCCATTATCATGCTAGCATTTTCAATGGCTTTGAAAAGTACACTTTGAAAGGGCGACGTACGTGGGGTTTCAACCACCATTCTCATTCAAATAAACCTTTCAGGACCCTTCACAATGTTCCAGGGCCTGAAACATACCAAGTAAAAAACATTTAAAACCATCTTAGTGACGATGGAGAGCTTATCTATACTTCACAGTCTTGGCTTGAATCACTATGCTGGCATAGCCCCCTGGTGGAGATGCAGTGTAAGTTATCAGAAGATCTCACACAGCTACACCACCTACTCAAGTAACATTAGCTAAGCCAACAAAAACACTCTTCTGTTGGAATAGCTGCATCTATGCTGGTGGTTTTGCCAGCCTAACGATGTCAATGGTATAAACTTAAAGTTTAGC